AGGGGTGCGCGCCGCTGACGCGCGGAGATGAAATTCCCGGGCTCGGTGCTGGCGTCCGTGTTCCTGTTCGTGGCCGAGACGACGGCGGCGCTGTACCTGAGCAGTACCTACCGATCGGGCGGGGACGGCATGTGGCAGGCACTGACGCTGCTTTTCTCGCTGCTGCCCTGTACGCTGGTGCAGCTCACGCTCCTCTTCGTGCACCGCGACTTCAGCCGCGACCGGCCGCTCGTGCTGCTACTGCACCTGCTGCAGCTCGGGCCCCTCTTCAGGTGCGTGCGGGACCCCGGGCCCCAGGCCGCAGACCCCGGCCGCCTTCCTCACCCGCCCTGGCTGAGGGGGGCGGCCTTCCGGGAGGGACAGGTGGCTGGACCTGGGGCCGGGCCCAGGCCGGCCCGCCCTATTCCTTAGCCCCACCGTTCCCGTCCCAGGAGTGCGACAGAATCCTAGCATAGAGGCAGTGAAGCTGGGCGCCGCGTTCCTGTCAGGTTCTTGCCTATGAAATTGTTAACATTCAATGGAGTTTGACCGACAACAATGGCAATTTCATGTGGTTCGCCCTCCTAAAAGCCAAGCTTTCTCTGCGGTCAGGTGGGCTCTGGCGGGGTTGGCTTGTGTCGTGACAAACCCTTGGCAAGTGTGTCCTAAATCTCCGTTAAAGCAAAAGGGGGACACATAGTTTATCAAACACATGGAGTTTACTGTGTGCTAGGCACTGTTCTGAGCGCTTTACAAATATTAATTTATTCAGTTCTTATACATAACTTTAGAAATCCACGCATCAGTCTTTTGTATGTGAAAACAGACGTGATTATAGAAATGTCTTCTGGCCCTGCCTGACTTATAAACCAGTACCTGAAGCTTGAACACAATGTGCCGTGAAAATAAAAACTTCTGTGTTAAGAAGAGAAATCTTATTTCTGGAAATTAATTTTTATTAACGCAAAACAAGAGAAATACAGGGTAATGAAGTACACTTTGGCTTATCCAAGGACCATGAAGAGAGTTTAAAATGTGTTGTTTCGATATCTTCATCTCTGTAAGAAAAGCAAAATAAAGGGTTTCTATCTGGATTAGAAATAAATTTATAATACCGAATTTTAGACACACGTGATAGAGGAATTGGAAGACACAGCAAGGCCAGAGACGCACCTCAGCTGCCAGAAAATTCAGCTAGCCAGGGACCTTTCCTACCAGGAAATATCTCCCCCTACATCCACTCCCCGCCACACACAAAGCACAAAGTCAAGTAGCAAGATAGGTTTTACAGAACTGTATTATAAAACTTTGCACTTCATATTAAAGATAGTCATCCCAGCTGACAGAATACCAACTTGCAGTTTACATACAGTCAGGACAAACTTGGTGAACAAATTTTCCATAAGCTACAGAATTCTAGAAAGGATGAGAAACAGGTACACTCATTAGAGGAAGTTGCTACTCACATCTTGAGAGCAAGGGAAGAGTTAGTTGGGGACAGAGGGCTGATGTGGCTAGAAAGAGGAGAGGAAGGGAGTGAGGGGAATTTTAAAAGTCCTGCAACCTTGAGCCATTTAGTGAGGCCACAGCATCCCGATTATATTCCCACTCAGTAAAATCAACGTGTTCTGACTTTGGGCAAGGCACTCATCATTTTTTTACCCCATCTGTGAAAACAAAATTCATTGCTGGTGATGTTTAAATAAAGTGACAGAGAAAGGGGAACAGACATTTCTCAAATGCTTCTTGTGCTAGATGTTTTGGTAGGTGTTTATGTGCCTCAGTTCATTGGATCCTCATCATGAAGTAGATGTTAATTGCCCTCATTTTAGAGATGATGAAAATGAGACCCTAGACCATGTTCACAAGGCTTCTTAGAAATGGAGTTGAGTGAATTATGTTCCCTTACACTGTAAAAGAAGGCAGAGGAGCATGGAGTACATTTTATCAATAGTTCATCTTAAGAAGGGTTGGTCATCTTGGTAAAATTTAAAAACACAACCTAAATAGCTAACCAGGTAAATTATAATACCTTATCTTTTCTGCCATTTAAACTGTTTCTAAATACTAAGAGTGACCTAAGACAAAGCTACTGATATAATATTATGTGTAAAAACAAGATGGCACATGTAAACCTGAGCTCAAGGAAATATACCAAGTTCTTAAGAGTGGTAATTTCTGGATGGTGGACTTATGGGCAATTTTAATTTTCTCCTGAAAAATATGGAAAAATGCATCATTTTGTCCTTTATTATAGACTTCTTTACGTTTTCAGTTTTGACAGTAAAATATTTTAACTTTATTAAAGAAAAAGTTGATGCTTTGAAGAGAGAACTTCTCAGCTATATAAAAATTTTCAACACCATAAAAAAACATATTTCCAGAAAATTCTGAATGAGTCATTGTCTTCTTAGGGGAAAAACAAAACATAAAAACAAAGCAACAAACAACCCCCTTCCATCAACAAGGATTCTCTCCTTATAATGCAGCTGATTTATTTCAAGGAAATATTGGACTCATGATCTTAAAGCTGAGATACACAAAATGCAGTTCCAAGCCTCTTAGCTTCCAGATGAAAGGGAGCAATTTTATGTTTTGTATTAGAATGACTCCAT